GTTTGTCCAGTCTGGCAGAGCACAGTGGCTGTCTAAAAATACATCGTGTGGCTTGCAGAGGAGGAGTGGGAGGGCTGCTCACCCACCAGGCTCAGCTCACACTCCCCACACAGAGAAGTTGAGTGCAGGAGGCCTCCAAGCTCTCTACAAACCCATCTGTGTATGCTCCTTTTCCAAGTTTCCTCATGGAGTCGGTACTCCAGGGGAAACTGAGGCGTGGAAGAACTGGGGCAGTGTCTGTCTGACCCTTTCACTGGATTGACACATGATTTTCCTGCTGTGCCTGACGCTGTGACCAGAACCCTCTGACCCTGCTGTGGGCACCCAGTGGTGCTGGGGAGGGCTGAGCGAGGAGGAGCACAAGGAAGTATCTGCTCCAGTGACTAAGACAGGGAGAATATCAAGGAAGGTTTTCTGTTAATAATGTTTATGGGAGCAGTTTCCTTGAGGAGGGCGAGAGAGTCAGACCTTGAGTCACCTGGGGCTACAGACAGTTTCTCGGGGAACCATGGACAAGGTGAGAGCAAGATGTGTTCAGATCCTCTCTGGTTTACAGCTGCTGAATGTTCAGAGTGCTGGAGGGAAATGTCCAGCAACCATTAACTAAAGGAGATTAACATTGTAATCGTCTTTTTCTTGGGTTTACTGTGATCTTTGAGCCTGTCTTGCTTGTGATTCCATCTGGTCTCTGCCGAGCTCAGAGGGTGCTGAGCAGGTATTTTTCCCTGCTGGGCAGGAGTGGTGGCAGTGAAGGGGATGTGCAGCACAGGGAGTGAGAGGGGCAGAGGCTGAGCCATGCTTTGGGCTCACACAAGTCTGTTCCTAAGGTCAAAGGGGTGTTTTTCTTGCTGAGTGTGGGCAGGGAGGATTCAGCCTCTTACTCAGAGCTCAGGACAGGGGGCCTCGACTGAGACCTTCCAGCACAGCCTGATTCAGCATTCCAGTAGTGCTTGGGGGATGCTTCAGATCCTTCCCTGGGCTTGGGAAGAGAGTTGGCAGGAATGGCTGTTTCTTGCCCAGACTGTGCCAGCTGAGAGCTCTTCAGAGGAGCTTCACACAGGTGTCAGCGTTGGCTGTGGAACATAACGGTGTCCATGAGGTATGGGGGTGGGAGAGGATGGAGCTGGAATACACAACAGAGGGCAGGGAGGGAGGGAAACCTCTTTGGGTCCAGTCTGATACCTGTCTCTAATCACTGGGTAATGTACAGCAAGTAACTGTGCTAGTGGCTGCTTGTGCACCTTGTACAGCAGGGAAACCAAAAATAACCTCTCCAGGAGTCCACACTGTCATTTCTCTTGTGCTGTGGCTGCTGCTGCTGTCTCAGCTTTGGAGCAAGAACCACCTGACAAAGCTGTGCTGTAAGCTCTCACAGACTGAACAGCTTTCATCCTTTTTCTTTTTTTCCAAGAAGAGCAGAGAAATTGTCTAATGAAAGCTCAGATGGTGAGTTTTCCTGCCTAACTTCCTCGGTCATGTGGCAGTGTATGTGTTTGTGTGTGCTGGAGGCAGAGGAGAGCTCTGTTTTCCTTCTGATTTAATCACACTGATGAGTTTCTCCATCTAAGAGTTTCCTCTCTGCAAAGACACAACCTTTAGCTTGAAGAGGATGTTAAAATGCATCAGCCTTGGTGTTGTGCAGTCTGGCCTGGTACAGCAGGAGCTCCTGCTTGCTGCTGAGCCCTGTGTTTTTCTGGCAGTTTGGTGAAACCAGATCTTGGGAATTCTGCAGAGGGTTGAGGGTCTCCTCAGCCTCAGGGTGTTCTGTTGGAAAATAGGGTTTTCTTTGCAGTTCTTCCTCGCTGGCCCCAGAAGTCTGGAGAAGCTGCTGCTGTGTGAACAGATAGATCACGTAAACCCCTGAGGTTGTTTGCTTGCCACAGGCTCCTGCAGATCTAAAGAGAGAATTAAATACTCCTCTTTCTGCTAACTGCAGCAACGTCTTGGAAGTCCTGGGAGGGCTCAGCACTGTGAGCAGCCCCGTGGAGGGAGAGGGGATGTGCTTGGAAGATTTGTGGCCAGTTTCTTCTCTTTATCTGGTTTAGGGGGATTTATTACATGACTGGAAAGCTGATGGGAGCCAGATGGCTATTTGGAAGACAGTGTGTCAAACTCCAGGGAGTCTTGACTTTGATTGAGGAGTTTCTTGATTTAGGATGTCTGGATGTGTTTTATTTTGCATGTCCTCTGTTTTGAAGCTTCCTTGGGTTATGTTTTCAAGCTTTTCCTGTATGATCACAGAAGAAAATAGGAATCAGAGCATCCCCCATGGGATTGTCCTTTGTGGCCCTGCTAGGTCTGCTTCTTTTGGTGCTGGCTGGACACTGGGGATGGAAACAGCCTGGCACCTCAGCAGTGCTGTGCTGAGGGTTCTTTCTGCCCAGCCTCAGGCAGTAAATCTCACAAATGAACAAAGGCTCCTTCCCCTGCTGCCAAGTGATAAACTCAGAGGATTCCGAGAGCAGATGGCGCAAAAACTGGTGGGTTGCTCTGGTCTTGGTGGCCTTCTGCTGTTTGCAGAGGATTAAATTTAACAGTCCTTGACAAAAATGCAAGGAAAGGTGCTGCCTCTTCCCTTTCTGTTGTGAAGGGCCTTGGGCAAATACCGCAGGGAGGAGAGGCTGCAGTGAGGTGTGGAGGGTGGGAGGAGAGGACTGGGATTGAGTGAAGAAAATGGCAACAGGAATGGGGGAATCTTGCAAGTGGGAGATGGACTTTCCTGCCAGGTCAGGCTTGGGAAAGATAAGGTGAAGCACCTAAGGGCAGAGCAGTGAGGATGACTTGTGGATTGGGTTTGTCTGCACAAGAGCACAGAGGGCTCAGAGGTCCCTTTGTCAACAGAATCCCCTTTGCTAGTTCTATTTCATAGAATCCCAGAAGGGTTTGGGTTGGAAGGGATCTTAAAGCTCATCTCATTCCACCCCCTGCTATCAGTAGGGACACCTTCCACTAGGCCAGGTTGCTCCAAGCTCCATCTAACCTGGCCTGGAGCACTCCCAGGGATGGAGCAGCCACAGCTTCTCTGGCCAACCTGTGCCAGTGTCTCAGCACCTCACAGGGAAGAATTTTTTCCCAATATCCAATCTAACCTTTCTGTCTTTCAGTTTCAAGCCATCCCCCCTTGTCCTATCAAGCCATATCCCCATTGTCCTTATTTTTCCTGACTTTTAGGGGCTTGTGACATTTGTGTGGAGTTAACCTGAGCTGTTAGTGTGCATTGGTGCCAGTCCTGGGCTGAGAGAGGACAGGCAGTGACAGTGCTACCCCTTCCGGAGCACAGGGACCTGCGGGAATGGCACGAGTTGTTCGAGTCAGCACTTTGTGCTGTGGTGTCTGTGCTGCCATCCAGAGCTCAGGGAGCTGCTGGATGTCTGGTAAGGGGAAAATGGGAGGGTGGTGAGCAGGGGGTGAGGCATCATCCTGATTTGGGCCATTTTCAGCAGGCACAGAGCCCTTCCTACCACAGGGAGGCAGAAAAAGAAAGCAGAAGCTGTGGTCTGCTCTGCCTGAGTGGGTGTGCAGTGCTGGGAGGAGGGGAGGTGCCAGGGTGGGTGTGGGTCCAGACCCAACATCGTCCCACACCTGCTCTGAGCTGGGTGGCATCCTCTGAAAACACCTGTCTGCAGCTGTTGGATTCCCCCTGGGATGGAGGTGCAGGTGCTCAAGCAAGGCAAGAAAGGAGGGCAGGTACTAAAGGTGACAGAAAGTGAAAGCTCAGGGCACCAAGGGTTTCACATTGGTGCAGGCTCTGTGCTACAGCAGAACTTCTTCCTCACCCAGCCTGACATGGGGTGGGGATAGCAGCAAGAGCTGTGTGCTCTGGGAGTCCTTCCTTGACTCCTGTGCTCAGTTCTGGGTCCCTCAGCTCAGGAGGGACATTGAGGTGCTGGAGCAGATCCAGAGAAGAGCAACGAGGCTGATGAAGGGACTGGAGCACAAGTGGCATGAGGAGAGGCTGAGGGAGCTGGGGGTGTTCAGCCTGGAGAAGAGGAGGCTCAGGGGAGACCTTCTCACCCTCTGCAACTCCCTGACAGGAGGTTGGAGTCAGGTGGGGGTTGGTCTCTTCTCCCAGGCAACCAGCAGCAGGACAAGAGGGCACAGACTCAAGCTCTGCCAGGGGAGGGTTAGGCTGGATATCAGGAAGAGATTTTTTAGGGAGAGAGTGCTCAGGCATTGGAATGTGCTGCCCAGGGAGGTGGTGGATTCACCATCCTTGGAGATTTTCAAGCTGAGACTGGATGTGGCACTTAGTGCCATGGTCTAGTGACCATGGTAGGGTTGGACTTGATGATCTTTGAGGTCTCTTCCAACCTGGTTGATTCTGTGAGTCCTCCTCCCTTTGGGACCTGGTGTTCTACACTGTGTCCGTAGTGCCTGGCTGCTCTTGGGCTTTGGGGATTTCTTGTGTGTTCATCTTAGGTTCTTGGTTGTTTCTTTTAATGGGTGTTTGTGCTGGATGAGAGATTCCAAGCAGAAACACAGGAGTGCTGTTGGCCCAGGAGACACCACAGAGAGCTGTGAAAACATAAGGGAAGGAAGTAGCTGGCTTTCTTCTTTTGCAGAAATGCTATTTATAGCCTGCTATGCCCCACAAGCTGTGGGTGACACATCTGCCACACAGCCAGTGCTTTGAGGGGTGAATTTTTCTCTGTAGTTTCATCTGTTGGCACACACCTTGGAGGCTGTGGGTTTGTGACCTGCCATGGTCACGGGGCTGGGTGTGGACTTGCCCCTGCATTTGCCTGAGCTCGTGACCTTGTATTAGGCCCAAAAAGGTATTAGGTGTGTGCAGAACAGCAAAGCAGAAGCCTTCAGGGTTTGTCCTGCTGTGGGGTGGCTGTTTTGATGCCAACACTGAGGCTTCCTGTGCCATCAGTGCTGAGGAGCTGCCACGGACAGGTAGCTCTGCTCCAGGCTGCTCTGTGGTTGGACCTCTCCAAACCAGGCTTGGGAACAGCTTTCCCACCATCCTGCCTTCCCTCCTCTCCTAGGACATGAACAACCCGGACGAAGGGGTGGAGTTCCTCCCTGCCATGAACTCCAAGAAGATGGAGAAGCGTGGCCCGAAGCGGCGAGTGGTCGTCTCTGTCCTGGTTGTTGTCTTCCTGCTCCTCTCCCTTGCTGCAGGCCTCCTGTTCTGGCACTTCAAATGTGAGTGTGACATTGCTGGGTGGTGGCACGGAGGGTGATACCCTGGGATCATGTCCACATGGATATGTTGTGTTAGGCTTCATTACCTGGTGTTGGATCATGTGTCCTCTCTAGCTCTGGGAAGGCTCCAGGAGGTGGAGGGACACCCTTTCCACCTCCTGCCCTGATGGCTGTCACTGGGGACCTGCTGTGCCATGGTCCCAGCCCTGACTGCCCTTCCTGACCCAGAGCTGTTCCCTTCCAGACAGGAACGTACCCGTCAGGAAGGTTTTCAATGGCCACTTGAGGGTCCTGAACTGGGAGTTCCTTGATGCCTATGAGAACTCCAGCACACCAGAGTTCATTATGTTGGCCAAGAAGGTGAAGAGCACGGTAAGAGGTTCCTCACATCCTTCCTCTGGCAAGCAGGAATTCTCCTCTTGCCCTGTGGCTATGGATATATTTAATGTAAGATTCCTCGGAGCTCTCTGGCTCCTCTCAGCTCTCCCTGCTCACCATGACACGCTGGCTGGGTGCAGGGACTTGTCTTTGAGCTGGGCCTTGGCACCACAGCTCCAGCCCTGTGCCACAGCATCTCCCTGTGCTATAGGAGCTGCCAACGCACGTCCCAGGGCTGGTGGATGAGTCAGGGCTGGGAGCTGAGGCAGGAGACTGTCTGCTCCCTGTCCTGAACCCATGGCTTGTCTTGCCTCTCCCCTCAGACTTGGGAATTCCTTATGCTTCCCTCGGGAAAGAAAAGATTGGGATGAGCCAAAGCAGGCTGTGGTGTGCAGGTCTGGGCTCTGCTGGGACTCTCAGCTCTCCTTCTTCCTCTCTTTGGCTCTGCAGACTCCTGCAGCCAAGAGATGCTGGGTATGTGCCCTCATTTTTCCATAGCAGGCTTGAAGCTCTGTCTGTCTATCCTTTCCCCCCTCCTCACTCCTACATGTGCTGAACAGCTCTCCAACCCTTTCAGGTGGGCTGTGGTGTGCAGGTCTGGGCTCTGCTGGGACTCTCAGCTCTCCTTCTTCCTCTCTTTGGCTCTGCAGACTCCTGCAGCCAAGAGATGCTGGGTATGTGCCCTCATTTTTCCATAGCAGGCTTGAAGCTCTGTCTGTCTATCCTTTCCCCCCTCCTCACTCCTACATGTGCTGAACAGCTCTCCAACCCTTTCAGGTGGAGGAGATCTACAGGAATCATGCAGATATTGGCCCATACCACAAAGAGACAGTGATCACTGCCTTCAGGTGAGTGTTAGGAGCTGCCTGGGCCCTGTCTGGGAGTGGAGGAGGGCAATGCTGGGATGTCACAGAGCCATTTCCCCTCGTTCCCATGGTTCTGGGAATGGAGACAGCCTGAGTGACTCAGGAAAGGGTGGCCCAGTGAAAAGCAACCAGCAAATGTGATTGCTTTCTGCCAGATGTCTTGGGCAAATCAAAGTGTAGTGCAGTAGAGCCCTGTGAACTGCAGTGGGTGGTGCCTGGCAGTTTTGAGAGGGACTCCCCAGGCTGGCAGAGACTTTTTCTGGGCAAAGTTTGCTTGAATTGTCATTGAGACTCTCCCTTCCCCATGGCCAGCCTGCCAAAAATGGCTCAGCAATGAGCTTGGCCCTTTCTTCTACTGGTACTTGAGCCCTCCTGTGTCTGTCCCCACTCTCACCCCACAATTGCCCTTCCCACAGTGAAGGCAGTGTCATTGCCTACTACTGGTCAGAGTTCATTGTCCCCAAGTACCGGGAGAAGAGCTTGGACAGGGCCATGGCTGACAAGCAGAGCCTGGTGCAGAGGTGGAATCCTCGGCTGAGAAACCCCATGCTGAAGGTGGAGTCAGTCATCGCTTTCCGTGAGTGCTGACTCCACTGTCCTGGGCCTGTGATGGGATTGGGGGGGATGGTTCACTGGAGGGGTATGGTGCTGGTCACAGCCCTCCCCTGGGGGCCTTTGGCAGCCCTAAGGTGTGGGTGTAAGGACCTGGATGTCCCAGCATGGCTTAATGGGATGTGCAGACTGGGATAGGCACAATCACAGATTGCCCAGAGAGGTTGTGGATTCTCCCTCACTGGAGATGTTTCAGAACCATCCCGTGCCATGTGCTCTAGGATGACCCTGCTTGAGCCAGGCAGATTAAACTAAATGACCCACTGTGGTCCCTTCCAACCTCATTGATTCTGGTATTCTGAGGCTGCTCAGACCTGCTCCCCTTTGCTTGAATGCTCCATGTTCTCCCCTAAGCCCACTGGAGAGGGACAGAGGAAAAGCTTGATCCCTCAGCTCCCAGAGCCTTGGTGCTTGATCCCTCAGCTCCCCTGGCCAGCTTGCAGGGATGGATCCCACAAGCAAAGCCAGATCAGTGTGTATCCCAGGGACAGCCTCAGCTTCGTGCCCAGGGATTTTCCACAGCCCAAAGGATGACACCAGCTCTGTTTTCTCCTGCAGCTGTGGATCCCAGCATAGCTCACTCCGCCCGAGACAGTAAGTACAGTTCTTCTTCAGTCTCATAGTGGCTCTTTGGGGTGGTGATTTCCCTTTCAGGATGGGGAAGGGCCTGAAGAAGGGTGCTCTGTGTGCAGGGCAGACCCTGGTGTGCTGCTTGGAGCTGGTTTGGGGTTGGACAGACTGTGGCATGGGCCTTGTTATCCAGCAAGAGTGTTCCCTGCAAGAGGCGTCTGCCCAGGAGCAGCCTGCAGGCAGAGGAGGAATTACTCTCTGCATCCCAGGGAAAGGCAGGGCAGAACCTCCTCATTTGCTTTGTTAACTCTTCCCTGCTCTCTGGGCAGACAGCTGCATGTTCTCCCTCCACGCCAAGGAAGGGGAGGTCACCAGTTTCACCACACCAGGCTTCCCCAACAGCCCATACCCCAACAATGCACTCTGCTACTGGGCACTCAGGGCAGATGCCAACTCCATCATCAGCCTCACCTTCAAGACACTGGACCTGGAGCCATGCAGAGATGACAGTGACTACATCAAGGTGTATGACTCCCTGAGCCCTGTGGAGCTCCACGCTTTGGTCAGGTGAGTGTCCCCATGAGGTTCCCCATGAGGCACCTAGTCTAGGGTGATGCTGATATGTCCTGCTGGGAGCTGAGCTCCTGTCCCAGCTCAGAGCTGAGCTGTGCTGCTTGAGGCTCTCTGTGCAGCTGTGCCTCATGGATTTTATCCTTTGCTCCCTAGGCTTTGTGGGAATTATGCCCCATCCTACAACCTGACCTTCCTGTCCTCCCAGAATGTCATGCTCATTACATTGGTTACCAACAAGGAGGGGCGATTCCCTGGCTTTAAGGCTGACTTCTTCCAGCTCCCAAAGCTGAAAGGTGAGCAGAGGCCTTGGCCTGTTTCTCCCACCTCTCCCTGCCACAGGCAGCTGAACAGGGAGGTGGCTGTGGTCAGTTTGTTGGGGATGTTTCCAGGGTTGGAGCACCTGGAAACAGGTTACATCTTGGTTCTTGGAGCTTGCCTTGCCCACAGTGTTCTTGGCTGCTGTAATGATGTCCCCTGAGGAAGCCAAAATAAGAATTATGTTGGATTAGACATGCAGATTGATGCATGCAGGAAGCACCTAATTGATCTCCTGGGTTCTCTGCAAGCCTTGGAGCAGAGCTGTTCTCTCCAGAGAGCGACTTAACCTTGTTAGACTGTTGCCTCTGCCTCCCTTCCTGCCTCTGGTGACAGCAGGCTGAGGCTTGGGAAAACCACATCTGAATCTCTAACCTGTTTTCATCTTCTGCTTCTCCTTAGCCTGCGGTGGAACCCTGAGGGGAGAGAGCGGCACCTTCACCACTCCCTTTTACCCAGCACACTACCCCCCAGACACGGACTGTGTCTGGAACATAGAGGTAAGATGGGCTCTCTCTTTGCCTTAATTAGTCTGCCAAATGAACCTGGTCGTGCAGGACACCGTGTGAGGAGCTCACAGCTGCTGCTCAGAGCCTGGCATGGCTGAGGAAGCTTTAGGAGCTGGGCCTGAGGCAGAAGAGGCTGAAAGAGGCTTGAACTCTGAGTGATATTTTCCACAGCTCCCCAATAAAAAGCAGGAGAGTGTGGGCTTTGGGACAGGCCAGTCACTGCCTGGTGACCAGGTCTGACTTCCACCTTGTGCCTGTTCCATCCTGGGGCTGCGGTGAGACAGTCACTGTTGGGAATGTGTTTCTTTTCCTTCTGGAAAACAGACTACTTTCCATTTTCAGTCGTCTTCTGTCCTCCCCTCAAACACAATCATCTTCCTGTGAAACTTACTCCCTTTTCCTTGCTCCAGAAAACAACATCCCACTGACTTTGCTTCCTTTTGCAGGTTCCCTCTGTGAAGAACGTGAAGGTGCGTTTCAACATGTTCTTCGTGCTGGAGCCTGGGATCCCTGTCAGCTCCTGCACCAAGGACTATGTGCAGATCAACAGCACGAGGTGGGTGTCAGGTGCTGCCTGAGCCCTCAGAGTGGAGGCCAAGCACCTTGTCCTTTCCCTAAACCTGCTGTGGGAACAAGAGTGCTGCTGCTCTCGGGGCTGGGGTGAGGCAGGAGGGTGATGGGGTCTGCCCCATGGGGAGAAGGAACCCCACTCTTGGTTCTGGGGATTTGACTCAGGGTTTGTTGTGTGCTGCAGCTGAATCCCCCACGTGCTGTGGAGCTTTGTGGCACAGAGCTCGCGTGCAGGAGGGCAGAAACATCTGGTGTGGGTTTGCTTGAACGAGCAGAGCTCCATTGTCAGGGCAATTACATTGTGTTCTGTGATGCATTTCCTGATGCATTGCTGTGTGCTGTTCCACAGCCTCATGTCAGCTGGGCCAGACAGACAATCTGGGACTGCACAGGGAAGTGGTTGGTCTTGTTCCATAGTGTGGAGCTGACCCTGCCTCAGAGAGAGGGTTTCAAAGGCAGCACCTGCCTCTGCAGCCCTGAGTTCCTGCAGTGCTGCTTGTGTCCATGACACATGTCCTGCATGGATCCAGCACATCCAAGATCAGACACATCTCTGGGGCAGGCAGGGGTGGGGAAGAACTTGTTCCCAGTGGTTCCTAAGGTTGGTGTTTGCAACTGGCCCAAAGGGTTTGCCAGCAGCAGCTCATTCTAGGATCAGTCCTGCTCTCTGCTCTCCTGCCCCCTCAGCTCCTGGGTGTAGAGTGATGCTCTGGCCATGGGAGATCAGGGCTGGAAGGAGGTTTGCTTGGTGCTGACCCTTCACTCACCTCTGCTCTCTCCCTGCAGGTACTGCGGGGAGCGCTCCCAGTTCGTGGTGGCCAGTACCAGCAACAGAATCGAGGTCAGGTTCCACTCTGACCAGTCCTACACAGACACTGGATTCTCTGCAGAGTTCCTGTCCTATGACTCCAGCGACCGTGAGTTGAACTCCTGGGGCTGGGGGAGGAGCTGATTTCCTTGAGACCTGGAGCTGTCCCTTCTCAGTGCTTACACTGGGAAATGAACATTTCCAGGGGGATAGCAGCATTATTTTACTGCAAACTTTGTCTTCCTGCTGTACTCTGCTGTCAGCAGGCACAGGGAACGCTGTGTGCTTTGGGGCAGGGACATAGAGGGGATGCTGGAGAGCTCATGTGTGGTTTTCCCCCTTTTCCCCCTCTCAGCCTGCCCTGGCAAGTTCACCTGCAACACAGGGCGCTGCATCGACAGGAGCATGCGCTGCGACGGGTGGATGGACTGCGTGGACGGCAGCGACGAGAGGTCCTGCAGTAAGTCCCTCCTTGGCTCCCTTTTGGCTTGGCATGGGAAGGGCTGGCTGAGCTGGGGGTTTGCCCTGGGCTTGTTCTGGGTAATGTTCCTCAGTGTAAAGCTTTTCTTGGCTCGCTGGAACCAGCACTGCCACCTTGCTCCAGTCTGGAGCGAGAGGTGCTCAATGTGGGATTGATTTGGGATCCTGTCCCAGTGTAGGAGCTGTCTGTTCCTGCTAATCCAGCCCTTTCCCAGTGACATCTCCCTCCCTTTGCAGTCCCTCCCTGCTGGGAATGTGTTTTTCTGCGTAATCCTCCCAGCAGTGGGTTTGGCTGAGCTGTATGGTAAGAAGGGATGAGCTGGTTCCCCAACTTTTGCAGAGTTTTGGAGAACCTGTGGGATACATGAGAGTTATTTCTCTGTGCAGCAAGTTTTCCTCATGGATTAGCAGAGCTGTTATATAGTTAATGTTATTGTCCAGGGTCAGCAGTACTTTAGAGAGGACAGGATCCCCTGGTGTGGGATCTCCTCCCCAAGGGAGGGGCAGTTTTCTGAGGAAGAGTGTGCTGCTGGCCCGTGATCCAGGACTCTCAGGTGCTTTCCCACTGTTTGTTGCAACAGCTTTGCTTCAGTTGTTGCCTCTGGCTGTTCTGCTGCTCTGATGTCAGCTTCAGCCTCAGCTCCTGAGATGTGACAGCTCCAAATGGGTTTGTTCTCCAGCTCAGTGGGAATCCTGTGCCATAGGCTGTGTCATGTGTTTCTGTCCATGTACATGGTCCCAAGTTGATTGTTAGGGTTGCCAAGTGCTCGTGCAGCCCTGGGAGAGCTGCTATGGTGGTTGGGTCACTGGTGACTCCACAGGTGCCTTTGCAGCTCTCCCCAGATTGGAAGGGCCTGCCCAGGGAGGTGGTGGAGTCACCATCCCCAGAAGTGTCTAAGGAACAACTGGACATGGCACTCAGTGGTTTGGTTGCCAAGGTGGTGATTGGTCACAGGCTGAGCTTGATGAGTCTTTTCCAACCTTATTGATCTTTCTCACTCCCTTTTTCAGCCTGTACCAAGGAGCAGTTCAGGTGCCAGAATGGCTGGTGCAAGCCCAAGTTCTGGGTCTGGTCTGTCAGGTTGAGCTCGATGAGTCTTTTCCAACCTTATTGATCCTGTGTTTCTCACTCCCTTTTTCAGCCTGTACCAAGGAGCAGTTCAGGTGCCAGAATGGCTGGTGCAAGCCCAAGTTCTGGGTCTGTGACAATGTGAATGACTGTGGTGACAACAGTGATGAGCTGCAGTGCAGTGAGTGGCTCACCCTGGGCACACAGGGCTGAGGGCTGGCACAGGGGGATGGGGGTGACAGAAGCTTGTGGGGTGGAGGGAGGCAAGTGCTGTGCTGGAAATGAGCAGGCAAGAATCCCAGGCATGGCAAGAGCTCTCCTGCTGCATCTTCCTTGAGCCCAGTGAGAGTTGGAGGAAAGAAGAATGAGCAGAGGTGTGGAAAATGTGGGTTTGTGGGGAAGTGGTGGTGTGCAGTTTGGAGAAGAGATTGGGTGTTGGAGCTGCAGAAGCTTTACATGGGGAGGGGAGATGGACTCAGCCATGTGTTGAGGTGCTGCAGGATTCACTCTCAAGAGCTGCTCTCTGTCCCCAGGCTGTGCAGCTGACAGCTTCAAGTGTGACAATGGCAAGTGTGTCCCAGACACACAGAAATGTGATGGCAAGGACGACTGTGGGGATGGGAGCGACGAGGGCAGCTGCAGCAATGGTGAGGGTGAGCAGCTCTGATGGATTCCCTGTGACTGTCCAGCTTGGGGGGTGTTTTCCTGGGATGGCAATGCCCTGGGGGTGGGTGGAAGGGGTGAAGGGCTCCTCAGAATTGAGGCTAACCCCTGTCCCTCCCTCCTGCCTGCAGCAGGTCCCACAGCAGTGCCCTGCAAGGACTACACGTACAAGTGCCGCAGTGGACGCTGCATCAGCAAACAGAACCCTGAGTGTGATGGGGAGCAGGACTGTGAGGACAACTCTGATGAGAGCAACTGCAGTGAGTGCCCTGGGGGACATGGGATTCTTGGCTGGGCCTCTCAGAGAAACACCTGAGTGTGGCACAGAGAGCCCCTGGGTTTTTCTGTGCAGTAGCTTGGAGCTGGAAATAGTCAAACTATTTAACAGCTTGCACCGTGTGGTTCCAGAGGGCTCAGATGGGTAACACAGAGGTTTGCAGACTTGAGCAGTCAGTTCTGACTCTTTTAGTGTCTGTACTCCTGTGCTGAGAGCATCAAGCCCTCATATCCCCAGGGAACAGAGGGGAGGTGTGGAATGGGCACAGGAGTAACCCCTTCCCTTTCCCCTCCCCAGACTGCGGGACCCGCTCCTACGTCAGGAAGTCGCGGATCGTCGGAGGGCAGGACTCGGACGTGGGAGAGTGGCCCTGGCAGGTCAGCCTGCACGTCAAGGGCCAGGGCCACATCTGTGGGGCCTCCCTGATCTCCCAGAGCTGGCTGGTGTCAGCAGCACACTGCTTCGTGCAGCTGCAGGGCATCAGGTAGGAGGGACACAGAGCTGGGGCTGGAGGTTGCAATTCGTTTTCAGGCTTTTGCGTAGGATAACACCAATTTTGAGAGGCATTTCTCAAGGAAGAGATAAGAAGCTGTGATGCCTCTGAGCTTGTCTCACCCTTTGTTTCATGCCCTGTGCAGGTACTCAGATCCCAGCCTGTGGACAGCCTACCTGGGCCTGACAGACCAAGGAGACCTCAACGGTGCCAACGTGCAAGTTCGGAAAATCAAGCGCATCATCTCCCACCCCTTCTTCAACGACTACACCTATGACTATGACATTGCTGTGGTGGAGCTGCAGACCCCTGTCACCTTCTCTTCTGTTGTCCAGCCCATCTGCCTGCCTGATGCCACCCACAACTTCCCCGTGGGCAAGGAGCTGTGGGTGACCGGATGGGGAGCGACTGCAGAAGGAGGTGAGTGCTGGTGTGTGAATTTGGGGCTGCACTGATGTGTTTTATAGAGGTTTCCCAGAGAATCTGTGGCTATCCCATCCCTAGAAGTGTTCCAGGCCAGGCTGGATGTGGTTTGGAGCAACCTAGACTGGTGGAAGGTGTCTGCTCATGGCAGGAGGTGGAACGAGATGAGCTTGAATGTCCCTTCCAACCCAAACCATTCCACGATTTTTGTGTTTCTTGAAGGGGGAAAAAGGGAGGAACTGCTTATAAATGTTTATTTTTACTTAACTTCCCCTCCATCCTTGCAGGCACTGGAGCCTCCATCCTGCAGAAGGCAGAGATCAGACTCATCAACCAGACAGTGTGTAACCAGCTGCTGACTGACCAGCTGACACCACGCATGATGTGCGTGGGGATCCTGACCGGTGGCGTGGACGCCTGCCAGGTAGGAAACACCTGCACTTACTGCTGGGGGAGACAGCCCTTCTCACCCTGACACTTAACATACAACAAATCTGTGTGAAGCCTCCTGGTTCCAGACAATGGACAGACTGGAATGGCAGCGGCAGCAAGTTGTGGGGATGTGGGACTTAGTCTCGAGAATGTAGGAGTTTTAGTTACAAAAACACAGGACTTTTGGTGTCAGAAACATGGGAATTTTAGCCTCAAAAACATAGGACTTTTGAGTCTCAAAAATGCAGAACTTATAGTATCTGAAATACAGGACTTTTAGTCTCAAAAACTCAGGAACTGTAGCCTCAGAAACACAGGACTTTTCAGTCTCAAAAACACAAGAGTTTTAGTATCAGAAAACCAGGAATTTTAGCCTCAAAAACACAGGACTTTTTAGTCTCAAAAATGCAGAACGTATAGTATCTGAAACACAGGACTTTTAGTCTCAAAAACACAGGACTTCTAGTATCAGAAAACCAGGAATTTTAGTATCAGAAAATCAGGAATTTTAGCCTCAAAAACACAGGACTTTTTAGCCTCAAAAATGCAGGAGTTTTAGTATCAGAAACAGAGGAACTTTAGCCTCAGAAACACAGGACTTTTTAGTCTCAAAACACATGACTTATGGTATCAGAAACATGGGAATTTTAGCCTCAAAAACACAGGACTTTTTAGCCTCAAAAATGCAGGAGTTTTAGTATCAGAAACAGAGGAACTTTAGCCTCAGAAACACAGGACTTTTTAGTCTCAAAACACATGACTTATGGTATCAGAAACATGGGAATTTTAGCCTCAAAAACACAGGACTTTTTAGCCTCAAAAATGCAGGAGTTTTAGTATCAGAAACAGAGGAACTTTAGCCTCAGAAACACAGGACTTTTTAGTCTCAAAACACAGGACTTATGGTATCAGAAACATGGAAATTTAGCCTCAAAAACACAGGACTACTGGTGTCAGAAACATGGGAATTTTAGCTTCAAAAACATAGGACTTTTTAGTCTAAAAAATGCAGAACTTATAGTATCTGAAACACAGGACTTTTAGTCTCAAAAACTCAGGAACTGTAGTCTCAAAAACACAGGACTTCTAGTATCAGAAAACCAGGAATTTTAGTATCAGAAACCCAGGATTTTTTAGCCTCAAACCCAGGATTTTTTAGTCTCAAAAACACAGGACTTTCAGTACAAGAAAACAAGGAATTTTAGCCTCAAAAACACAAGACTTTTTAGTCTAAAAACACAGGAATTTTAGCCTCAAAAGCATAGGACTTTTTAGTCTTAAAAACACAGGCCTTTTAATATCAAAAACCCAGGAATTTTAGCCTCAAAAACACAGGACCTTTTAGTCTCAAAAAAGCAGGACTTAGTAATTTTTTGAGTCTTACCAGGTAAGAGACAACCCTATTGCAGCTATGGCTGTTCCCCAGAGCCTTAATTAGTAAGTCAGGCTGCTTGATTGGCTTTTTATAGCTCTTTGTTCTGGCATGGTGACTCTTATTGCCATATTAAATATTTGTTTCGGGGAACGGCCAAAACGTTGTACTGGGAGAGCTGACTCAGCCCAGTTTGGTGTTTGAACGGAGTCGCTGGCTGACTCCAGGTGTGTGAGGTGGTGCTTACACCCCTGTGTTTCTGTGCAGGGAGACTCTGGGGGGCCCCTGGTGAGTGTGGAGCCCAGCAGCCGCATGTTCCTGGCCGGGGTGGTGAGCTGGGGCGATGGCTGTGCCCAGAGGAACAAGCCTGGAGTGTACAGCCGCCTGACCAGCCTGCGAGCCTGGATCCAGGAGCACACAGGGCTCTAGGGGGGATGGAGCCCTGGCTGGACACCTCTTGGACAGCACTGGCTGGAGATGGCATTGCTGGTCATGCACAGCCTCTACTGTGAACTTCAACCCTCCCTCTACCTCGCTGCGAGCGCCTGGGACTCTGTGTGCAGCCAGGGCTGATGGTTTGGTTCAGCCCTGAGTCTTCCCAATCTTGAAATCCATCGTGGGAAGAGTTTTCTCTTTGGGGGTAAGCAAGTGCAGCTCTCAGGACCAACTTGAATGAGCCACAGCATCCAGGATTACGTTTAATAATAAACCTTAAAAAAAATAACAAAAAGCCAATTAAATGATAAATCAAGAAAGACAAGACAGACAAAGTTTGTGTTTAGAGGGAAACTTTATTGGACAGGTTCAAAAGCAGCTCTCAGAACGTACTGTTTGACAAACAGCCATCCACACTCCTTGCTCTGCTGCTCAGTCTCAGGGGGGAAAGGAGTCTTACCATGGGGTTGGGGGATCCCCTTTGGGATCCCTCCCTTCTTGTCCCACACCGTGGTCTCCTCCCTCTGTCCAATTCAGCTCTGGCCTGGCTGAGTCTGGGGACGTGCAAGAGAGAAACTGAGCTGAAACACCATCACACACCCCAAGGAAAGCTGTGCACAGGGTTCAAACCCCATCACTCACTGAGGGAAACCATGGGCAGTGCTGCTCACACACACACACACACACACACCCCTCAGGCTGATTGGCATCACCACACTGTGCCTTAGCACCACGCTGGGGTGAGCTGAGGTGGCTTCTGCTGAGCCCCAGCTGCCTGGAGTCACACTGCACGTGGTGACAAGCACAGGGGATGTGCTGCATCCCTCCTGGAGTGTCCCTGCAAGGGCAGCACGGGTCAGCTCTGCACTCACCAGCCTCACACCCACCTGACGTTTGTAAAGAGAAATGTGACCTGTGAATGTGCTGATTTTATTCCTGTGTAGCCTGTTCCTTGCCCAGCAGTGCACACTGCAGATGAGTTTTAGCCCCTTCCTCACCTGTAAATACATTGTTTTGTAAAACTCTCTGACGTGACATGCTCCAATAAACAGGTATTTTCTAATCTTGTGCCTGTGTGGTTCTTCCTGGGCTTCTGTGCAAGTGTTCCTGAGGCAGAAACCCCCAGCACTAAGTGGGGAGAGGAACTGCTCCAAGTAAAACACTTCCATGCTGTACCCACTGTGCACAGCAGCTCCAGAGTAGTGCAGAAACAGGCAGAGTCCAGGATGAAATCCTTGCAGAAACCATCTGTGAGGGCTCACAGGAAGGTGGTCTGTGCCTCAGAGCTCTCTGCAGAGAAACAGAGTTAAGGAACAATTTGATTTCAGGCTTACATGGTGCTGCAGCAACACAAGAAGTGTTTACTGTGGTCACTGTCTTGCCCAGAGAGCAGTAGGTTGCAGTGCTGAGCTACCTCAGCTAATGAAGCACAAATGCAGTTCACAGTTAGCTCCTCCACAGCCATGCCCCACAAACAAACTTCCCTAAACTTGAGGTGTTATGGATTATGACTCCCAGAACATAAGGTGCCCTGAGGACTTCACCCCATCACCCACATCCATGGTGCTAAACCATGGACACTGAAGTCACACTCCCTTGTCCTGCTCTCCTGGATTCAGCTAAGGCTCACAGCCTTACCTGGAGCCACATGTCCCAGCAGATTTGGGAGCACCAAATTCCTTCTTGCCCAGCACAGCACTATAGTGAGAGAGATCTCAGGGCCACCCAAACCCAACCCCCAGCAGTTAGGGCACACCCTGCCCAGTCTGGGTGCCAAACGAGTGAACCATCTCACCTGAAGGCTCCACATTTCTCCCTCCATCCCCAGGCTCCATAGCACAGGAACAGCTGCTTCTGGAATAGAAAGGAAAAGGTAACTACAAAACTTCAGTTTCCTTCTGGGAGGCACCTCCTAGGGCCAGAGACCTGCAGGGTCTGGGGGAGAGGCAGAGCTAACTCTGCTCCCCTAGAAACCTCCTCTGCTCCCCAACCTCCCATGGGAATCATTTTCCCTCCTCTGCTGCTCCCACTGGCTTTCTGCTGGCTGCTGGAGTGGGGAGGAGGAGGAGGAGTGCCAAGAGCAGGAGTTCAGCAAGAGGCAAAGCATGAAGTCAAAGATTCCCCCTGCCTGGGGGCAGCTGGGACACATGCAGGGGAAGATGTTGGGGACCTGGATCCATCCCAAACAGGCAGGTCCAACACACAGCCACAGCACAGGTGTGGTGCTCTCCCCTGCTCCCCTCTGCACAGAGACTCCTGCAGCACCAGAGGATGGCCAAAGAGTCTCCCAAGGGCCCAAGACAGGACAGAAAACAAATCCTTGCTGGACAGGAACCACCTCTGGAGAGTGTCAGAGGAGCCAAGTCCCAGACAAGAGGGAAACACCCCACCAAAGTGACCACCAGAGCTCCACCTTGCCCCCAGACCCTCAGCACAGCAGGACTGTGTGAAACCTCTGCTCCTGCTCTGCAGAAACAGCTCTTCATAGGCGTTACAAATGAAGAAGTAAACCCGCAAGAACTGAAGACAAACCCCATGTCCCTGAGCTCCAGCCCCACTAGATGTCCCTCTCGGCCAAGGCACAAGGGCTCCTGAAACCACCAGGAAGGAGGTCCAGGGAAGAGGGAAGGAACAAGCTACAAGTCCCAGATTCCTCTCCCGAAGTCCAGAGGGGAGGGAGCCAGGAGAAAAAATGAGTGTGCAGGGAAGGGAAACAAGTGTAAGCAGGATGGAGAACAGAGCAGGCAGCTCCCAGCAGCTGGACATGTCTGCAAGGTGCCCAAGTGAGGTACTTTGGGGGACCAGCAGCTCTGAATCAGCCTGGAAAATCTCATCACTCCAGTTAAAGGTCCAAGAGTTCACTGAGAGCCACCAAACCACTTGATTTCCTTCCCCCATCAGTCTCAGCAGCTCTCAGTCTCTTCCCCTCTGCCTCGGAGGGAACACTCCTCCAGTTGTTCCATGTTAAAAGAAACTCCTATCAACCCCCAAAGCTGCACTTCATATTGACACAGCACTTTTCTGACACCACAGGGCTTTGGCAACACAAACCCAGCCCCAGTTTGTGCTCAGAGCTGGCAAGGGCACAGCACCACTGAGCTCAAGAGTCCCCTCAAATGGGGGCAATCCCAGGGGTTTGTGTCACCCAGCACAGCTCAGAGGAGGAGCAGAGTCAGGCTTGTCCCAGGCACACCAAACACGAGGGGCTGACATTGGTGTCTCAGTGCACAGGTTGTCTTAGAAACTGTGAGAAAAGTAAAGAGATGAGAGAGCCCAATGCACTCAGCAGGGCAACCTCTCACCCTGGGAAGCCAACACAAAGAGCAGGGTCAGGGAACAGGGAGCTGAGAGGATTCTGTGCTGCTGGGAGCTATTGGGATCCCAGGGGGGCAAGGAAAGGTGCATCCCCTGGAAGTGCACCCAGGCAAAGCTGCCTGGAGGTGGTCAGTGCCCAAATGGGAGCAGCTGATGACAGCAGGCAAGGCACCAGGAAAGCATTCCAGGTCTCTGGGAGGAATTGCAGGTGAGGAACCAAAGGAAGCCATCCCAGGATTGCTTGGAGAGCCTTTTCTAGCACCTGGCTGGGGCAGCCCAGCTGCAGCAGGGATGTGGCAGCAATGGGACCAGGCTGGGGGTTTACCTCTGCATCATAATCCTGCTCCATATCCTTCTTTTTTGGGTGCAGCTTCACACCCACAGCAGCCTTGGGTGCTTAAAAAGTCCTCTTGGCAAAGAGGATTGGGTCTCCTGCTTCTCTGCCCCCCACTCTCCTGCCTCTTGTCCCCAGGGGCTGATGCTCACCACGAGTCCCCAGCTCTCAGGCTCTTCCTTCCACCAGCACATCTCTTGTATGCTCACAAACCCAGCCCCACCACCACCCTGGATCATGTCCTTCCTCACACTCTGCTCCAGGTGTTGCTCAGTCCTGCAGCTGAGCACAGCAAGGTTTAGGGGAGACCTTGCTTCCTTGTCCAGCACATCACAGCAAGGTTTAGGGAATGGAGAGACTGCACACTGCCCAGGGAGAGCTGTAACAGTGGGAAAAATCCTCTACAGACATTTTGGGGCTTGTCTTATTTGTGAAACCACTCCCCAGCTCATCAGCAGTTTACACCAGTAATACCAGCCTGCCCTCACTACTCACAGGCTCTAAAAAACCTCAACAAGTCCATAAAACCCCTCAGCTGTACAGCATCTAACATCCCTCCCAAACCAGCAGGCTCAGGTTCTCACCTCCTTCCTCCAAACCATTTTAGGGCTTGCAAGTGAGAAAGCAGCAAGTTATCTTTGGCCTTTAAATCACCACAGTATTACTGCTCCACAGTCCCATCTGTGCCAGCAGGGAGAATCACTTCACATACCACTGTCTGCTGCTGATTTGTTTCCCACACATATTCCTCAGCTTGCTGATGGGGAGATGAGCAGGGAAAAAAAAAAAAGGAGAACTTAAAGCCAGCACAGCAGCCAGAGCTGTAAGTGGATCATCTCCATAACATCCTTCAGCAGCAATGATCTCAATCCACTAGGCAGACTCTCTGCCTCTCAGTTACTCAAACTCTTATCTTATCACAGCTGAAGGCTCAGAGTGCTGAATGCCTCAGTCCCACTTAGTTTCTCTGCCCAGTGACTCCAGTCTAGGTTGTGCTGCTAAACTGGGGCTCCACAGCCTGGGAAGGCAGGTACCCCAGGCCCAGCTCCTGGAATCACTGGGGGAACCAGCTCCTGTCTCCTGAGCATTGCAGCATGACCTCAAGAGGCAGAGGAAAACACCTTCTCTTCCCTCCAGCCCTTGGGAAACATCAAGTGACACTATTTCTAGCCATAGGAGCTGCCAGAGTTCCTGGAAAGTGCCTGACCCAGCACACCCCAGCAACTGCCTGGCACAGCCAACAGACATCCCAGGAGAAACCCAGCTCCAACAGAGCTCAGCAG